ATCATCTAATATATAAAATTCTCGTGTCACAATGTTCGTTCACTCCTCCGAAACGGCTCGACCGATTCTTATGAATTCTTTATACATATTCAGTAAGTCTGAGAATCGGCTACTATCTATTCTTAAACCTAGGAGGTTTAAGGGGATAAGGGTGATAAGGGGTGATAAAGGGTGTCCACCCCGAAAAAAAATATTTTTACTTTTTAGAAAAATTTTCACCCCTCTACGATCAACCCCTATGTTTTATTATAGTAGATAGTTATTTTTATTGAACTAAAAAAATGTTTCCTAGAAATAATATACATGGCAAAACAACGTTTGTCTAGCTAGTTTAAATATATAAATGATTCGGTAAGATGAATTTTAAGATGGATGAAACGGCAATTAATGTATACATACAACACGTGGCCTTTTTATGTTAAAGCATAATTATGTTTAATTTATATGATTACAAAGTGATTGCATTATAATAGCTTAGTTTTTTGTCATTTATACTTAAGACCCTTTACACACTATTTATAAAATAAAATGATTATTACTCTACTTCTAGGGTGGTATCTACTTGTCATCTTAGTTTTGATACTATATATATATGTCGTAGCCAACTAGCTTAATTAGGGGTTTAATCAACTGCCTAGCCTCTTTACTAAACAGCGCCGTTCAACTAGCGGCCTGAATGATGTTCAGTTCAAATAGCTTGGCAAATGACTTGGATCGATGACGTTACATTACTTGCCTATCCTGTTCATTTCTATTTAGTTCCGCATTCTGCCACCTACACCAAACTGACAATATAGCATCGGCAAACAACAAATTTGATGATGTTTTCCAAAGTTTTATGTAAATTAGTTTGTAAGAACACTAATATATTGAAAAATATTAAATAAAGAATTTCTTCTGTCAGATATTACAGCTTTTTTTCTGCCACATGGTCGTACGAATGGACTAAGCATTAGCCAGCCCGTTTATTAAATGTTGTAACAAATGCTACGGCTGAATATCATTTAGGCCGCTAGTTAGTAAAGAGGCTAGGCTGTTGATTAAACGGCTTATTAAGCTAGTTGGCTGCGACACATATTCTAGCTAAAGTGACCGATTTCCATCGTTTGACAAAAACACCCTTATCCTAGATCCGTCCTTGCCCAATATGTTTAACATATAACTCTTGTCTCACCTTCAACATAATTTTTAAAAAGTATAAGTATCGCAAACCATCGAGGAAATGCTGCCAGACTTTATGGCACACTGCCAAAGAAACCAAACTTTTTAAATTTTCTTTTTAATTATTTTTATTATTAGTATGAAGGGTAAGAAAATTGTAAATACTGTATATTTAATAGTTATAATTACTAATAAATGTTTTTAAAAATCACATATTGCTCCGTGTGCGAAGGCTCTAATACTTTTTGTTTAACACAGGAACCGGATTAGACTGGTTTCAAAACCGCTTTTTATTGTTTTTATCTTTTTTTAATGTTTGTTGAGATTTTTATACGTCCATGATAGATAGGATTTCTTTTATTGATATGAAATTAAATTCAGTAATTTAAATGATTAAAATAAGTAATTTCGCTTATTGTTATTTACCATTATTAAGTTACTAAAAATATTTATTGAGAAAAACACAAATATACAGTATTTAGACGTTTCTAAACCTACATAAAAAAATTAAACAAATTTAAAATGTTTAGTACCTGTGGCAGTGTACCTTTAATGCTGGCATTTCCTCGCTGCATAGCGATACTTATCCGTTGAGCGAGGAAAGCACCAGCTCTAAGGTTTATTCGTTTTTTTATATATTAAATGCATTTTACTGATAGGAACGTCTCGGGCTTATTATAATAATATTTAATAAGCCTATAATTATTATATAATTTATATTATATTATAATTATAGGCTTATTAAATATAACTATAATTATATAATATATAGCCTATAACTATAATAATAATATAATTTTGATAATCAAATCAAATATTGATAAGTAACTAAAAAATTACATTTACATACCGATCACAATCAAACGTGGACACGTCTCCGTCACCACTAGATGCGCTGAGAGCCAGTCTATGCGTTTTAGAGAATGACAGCCACCTTTTACTTTCTTCTAGACTTGAATCTATGATGGAGATGGTGGACGAATGTGCTACATTATTGTATGACATCTGAAAGGTAACACTATGAAATTAAAACTGAAAGGGAATACTATGAAAATACTACATATTTTATTTATTTAGTAAAATAGATAAATATACAATATGTATGTCGATTATTTCTTTGTTACTGGCTTACTAAATAAATGAATAACATATATAGAAGATATTTTTTAAATCCCGTAATTGTAATCATTGAATCAGATATTTTTTGCGTCTGTATTCACCATTATTCTATTTTAAAATATTTTATAAATAGGCGATCAGCCTTCTGTGCCTGACACACACACATACTTACTAACACATATTGTTTTTTTTTCTAAACTTCACGATGTTTTACACTAGACGAGAAAGTTTTTTTACGAATATAGAAAGATTTGGGTTTCTAACCACAGGATTTCCAGACCCTTAATAACCCTAACAGTAGCTTTTTGACAAACATTACATAAACAATTTTTTATAATATAGAAATTGAATAAAAATCACTATCTTTTAACAAGAGATATCAACCCAAGTCTCACTAATATTTACAATATAATTTAATATTAATAAACAAACCTTTTTTAAAGTATCCAAATTAATATTGTTCCTTTATTATATTGTATCAAACCAAACTTATAAAATGTTAAACTTTGTAAATTAAATTTTGATTACTACGACTAAACGTTCTTAGTAAATATGAGTAAGTATTTAGCCTCTGAAGGTGTTCACAAAAATATCTATCTACCTTCAGCATCTTAAAATAGGGAGAAACTTCATAGATTATCAAATTTTGATTTAAGTCTATGGCTTAGATTAAAATCGTTCGTGTTTCAAATTTAAAAAAAATACTATTTAGTGCCTATCCGATACTACGAGATACGATTACTAGTGAAATTTAAAACTGGAAGTATTTGTGTATTTTTTTTTCCATTTAAGTTTACCATAATTGTCTTATATTTTAGAAAACATAGCTTGTAACATATGTAGATATATTATCATTATGTATGATGAGGTGAACTTTAATTAATAAATTATAAAAAAGAAGCATTATTAGTCAGTGATCTGCCATCTCTTGAGGAACGGTACAACTACAAACAGTTGAAAATTATGTCCAGTATAGCTATTTTAAACTAGATGTCGCTGGAACACGTAAAACATATTGTTTTACATTTTGCTTAAATTCCAACCAAATGATAATAATAATGTATATAGTTGATATGTTAAAAAACAACTAATGTTGTGTTATTTGGTACCGCAATTGAATTGGTTTTAAACGTGTATTTCAATCTTTACAACAATTTCTATCCACAGATACCTTACTCTGCTAGAATCAAATCCCTACTAATATTTTTTAACGGCGAGTAGCCTATATGACGTAAATATGAATTGCTTAGTAAACAATATTAAATAATGCTACCTACCAAAATTATATAATTTTCTCCATTCGAGTTGTAATTTCTGCTATAAAACTGCTAACGCCCCGGTCAAAGACGATAATTGAATATTTAAAAATACATAGAAGTGAAAAAAAGATAATTTAATAGCTCGTTAGTTAACAGAGTATTTAACTTGTATCACATCAACATGAAGGTTAAAACTTCAAATAATTATTATTTATTATAAAATATAGATATAATTGATTAGGTATAAAGTATAATAATATGTACCGGAGTGGCTATTTAATAATTATTTCATATCAAGTTCGAAGTTTAAAAATAAGAGATTATTTTAATTAAAATATTTGTACATTTAAATATTATAAATTTCAGAGTCTTCTTTACATGATCGATAGTTGTAAAATACTAATACATATATAATATAGACAAAATAAAAAGTAATTCCAAATTACAATAGAAACACAAGATATCGAAATCGAACTAAAGATGTCGCCGCTAACCCCCACCGAAAACAGTCAATACATCGACTATGTTCCAACTCGTTCTAACATCTAACAAATAAAAGAGATGGATTCTATGACTAACCACAGACATAGCGTACAAAATCAACGTTTTTCTCATTATTTTTCGGTTGACTTGGACATTGTTTTGGTTGTGAAAACGTAATGAATATGTCGATAATGTTGAGAGTTGTGTTTTATTAAGCTTTGTTTTGTGATATTCGTGTGTTACATCTGTTTATTTGTATTAATCAATAGTTCTTGTGGTTTTCCTTGATCAATATATAAGTAAGTATTATGTAGTATTAGTGAATTCGTAGATTTGTTTCTTTATTTACTACAAACCATCTTTTAATCAACGCACTGGCGGCATTTATAAGGCTTTGGAAGAATTAAAGGTCAAATTGAAGTTGTATAAAATGCAAATTAGGTTACTTTTAATTTATGAATTGTATTGAATATTTTAATAAATGTGAAGTCACGAATAATAACAATATTAGATTTCAAGGTTTTCAGTGTAGGTTTAAAAAACCCGTAAATTTTCGAATATTTAAAACCTTGAAATTAATAAAATTTAATTTAATTTAACAAATGATTAAAGTAAAAATTATTTTAGTGTTGGTCTATGCTTAATCATTCATCTACAATTATATAATTTTAAATTTATAAAGTTAGCAGTCGCAGTAACCATGGTTACAAGTCCTATAATCCAACTTATCGAAGCAACAATAAATATTAATATATATAATATATATATATATATAAAGTAATACTAAATAATTATCTTCTTTATAAACCTCTAATGCCTAGTTATTGAAAATTTTGTCCTAATCATTCGCATTGGCATTAGGTGACAAATCTTAATTAATTTAGATGTAATTTAGGATATATATAGTACGTTCATAAAGCCGTAGTTACGTGCACATATGGCCGTAACTATTGCTTATAATTGTATCCGTAGATGACAATGAAGACGCGTTTAACATCAGTGCTGTACCTCGGGTACACGGCGATGGACAGACGATTCTCCACTTCCATGCTACCCTGGTTGCTGAAAGAAATAAGGGCTACTGGAGTCAGAGACAAGGTACCCATTAATCGACTTTATACCTCTGTAGGGCTACTCTGCAAACTCGATCTGTGATCGATCGATCTTGTCTCAATGGCTGGAATCGGCACACTTTTTTTTATAGAACAGGGGCAAACGGGCAGGAGGCTCACCGGATGTTAAGTGATACCGCGGCCCCTGGACACTCTCAATGCCAGAGGGCTCGCGACTGCGTTGCCGGCCTTTTAAGAGTTGGTCCTCTTTTCTTGAAGGACCCTAAGTCGAATTGGTTTGGAAATACTTCAGTGGGCAGCTGGTTCCACATATTGGTGGTGCACGGTAAAAACTGCCTTAAAAATCGCTCAGTTGTGGAACGACGAACGTCGGGGTGATACGGATGGAATTTCGTATTCTGCCTCGACTTCCGATGATGAAACTCAGCTGCATACGAACAACTCGTAGAAGATGCAGAGTGACCCCACATCTCTACATCATTAATCTATTAAAAATGGGGAGTCTTACTGCTACTGTTAAACGCCTTAAGGGTATGAAATCAGTTTAAAAATAAGGGTTGAGTATGTTACTATATTCCTGTAAGTGTATCTAGTGTATACGCGAGTCACAGTTGGTAGTAGTCTCGTTTCTGAATCTCACCCTAAGTGTCGACTCATTACGTTATGTTTTTGTGTTTATGTAAGTCAAACGATGAAACCCAAGAATAATACTTTCAACATCAGCGCTATAGTCGTAAACATAGAATCGCAGGATGCTTTGTTAGTATCGATTCCAACCAATTCACAATAATTTCACTAGTGAATTCGTTCTTTACATTCTGTTTCTTCTTTTTTGCGTCTGAGGCGTAAGCTAACTGTTCTGGCAGAATGACCAGCGCTGTGGAACACGTCTGCTCCTCAGCATAATGCTGTGCCAGGGCCAGTTACAAACACAACACACACATATTACACACTTAAAATGAAAAAAACTTTTTTTATTATTATTATTTTGTGTTCCTGTGTATGTGTTTCGTTAGTAATAATTGTTCTGTCTATATCTAATTCCTGAAAATCGGTACCAGTTTTTCAGAGTAGTCCTTAAGTATTTTATTACCACAAATTCAAATAGCGATTACAATATTGTCATACTTAAATTAACCTTTTTATATGCAGTTGCATTATTCAACAGTGGCACCTCGAAATACGATTGCCCTAATACGTGTGTTCTGAGATGAAAGCAGGATGTTTGATATTTATTGGTTTTCCGCGTTTTCGAAGCATTTTTTCGTTGGGTTCGTGGTTTAACAAAGCATTGTCACTGGATGGTTACAAGAAGAGTTGGTCCGAAGGTTGTCTATTGAATTAAAGAGTGAAATCATTTCTTATACGTTTCTTTAGGCAGTTTTTGCCGCGCACCAACACTATGAACCAGCTGCCCACTGGGTATTTCCAAACCAATTCGACTTAGGGTCTTTCAAGAAAAGAGCGTACCAATTCTTAAAAGGCCGGCATCGCACTTGCGAGCCTTCTGGCAATGTCAATGGCAAAACAATATTCAAAAACCCACTTAACAAAAACAGCTTTGGTGGTGTTGTGGATGCTGGGGTTTCAATTGTGAAAATTGCTTTGAGAAGTATGGTTACGGAGTGAATTGATCTCGTATGTCAAGGTACCACTGTATTATTAATATTTTCCGAAATTATCAGCTTTTCCACAGTGCAGGCGATGACAGATTTTTTATGGAAAATTTTTCACACCTTGGCTTATATATTTTCATTGTTATTAGGGATCCCAATTTTTTTTTAATGTAATATAGCCTATGTCAATCAGTGATGAAGCATTCTAATGGTGAAAGAATTGAAATCGGTCTAGTAGCTTTTGTGTGAATTCATTACAAACATACACACATACACACAAAAGCACAAATGTTTCCTCTTTATATTATTAGTATAGATGAAGTTTTGCACTTCTTGCACTCACTTAGCTAATTTTCTTCTCACAGTGGTTGCCTGGAAGAGTTCGCTCGAAAGTGATAAGGCCAATTGCCCTTTTCATTTAATTATTTTAATTGTTTAACGAAGTGTTAATAAATAAATTTATATAGTGTGACTGACGCTACATTAAAAAGCTATATCTTCCAGCTCAGTATCGCAATTGAAGATGGCTGTTTGAAGGCATACAATGAGAACTTTGAACCGGTCATAATTCATCGTCTTGTGGATATTTTAAGGTATATTATTATATATATTTTATTATCGTTATATCTTAGTTAATCATCTTTTTAATGCGTTTTATAATTGAATGTAAAGTAATTGTGTCGAGCAGTGGAGTGTGCTAGTCTATGAGCGTTTTATTACATAATATTAATAATACAGAATAATCCACGTCACCATGTTGGCTGGAAGTCTTCCACGGTCCGCTTCACTAGATATTTGATTCGCGAATAGCGAAATGTGCCGTCTCCGTTGGAGATACGACCTCCAACTGTATAAAAACAACATACTTCTCCATCAAAGGGCGGCAAAGCACCCACTAAAATGAGGCCATGGGCTGCGATGACTGCCTTTTTAGGCGTCCCATAGCCTATTTCCCCCTCCTATGCCACAAATAAAATAAAAACGTAAAACAAAAATTCAAATACATACGTAAGTACTTCTAGAAATTTAAAATGATGATTGCTAGACCTTCGTAACATACAACGCAACGTTAGGCTCAAAATATGACGTCAACAACAGACGTTCTGTATCTGTTATCTAATAATAAATACTACTTAAAAAAAAGTAATTTAATTATTACAATAACAAACTACTTACAAAAGTAGAATATACAGCTTAGATTTGTTATATACAATTTTTTTCTTGTTATCCTGTCCTAACTTCCTTCAGTACCGTTGATCGGAATTCGGAACCCTTGCCGGGTACAGGCCTCCTCCAGCTTTTTTCAAACATCTCTGTCCATAGCTTTCTCCATTCTCTTCCTGCTACCGCTCTTTCTCTTGGTCCTATATAGTAGTCTTAAAAGTCCATTGATCGAAAAAAGCCATTAAAGTAGCCATTTTATTTAGTTCTTAACATACATATTTAGATTATTTGGAGATGACATGTTGTTCTTCTAAATGAGAAAAAGAAAGAAAAGACACAAGAAAGACACAGAGTTCTTTTAAATTTGAAATAAATGCAAATTTAGAGACATTTGTTTTGACGTTTATAAGTTGTGTAAGAACAAAAGTTATCTTCGTGAATTACTTTTTAAAATACGTGTCACATTGTTTAATAATTTACCTGTTCCTCCAGAGCAAGCCAAGTGCCAGGCCGAGCTGATGAGCTATTCTACATTCTACTTAATGAGAAGGAGGGTCTTCTGCAGTGCTTCCTCTTCAAGACTGCAACTGTTGCTGAGGTAAGTCACTAAGAGATTCGTTATGTCCAACATATAACTATGTTATTAATTATAACTATTTTTGTATATTATTAATATAGTCGCAGAAAAAATGAAGTCTAGTCGCTTCTGTGCCAATTATCAAGTCTCGGTTTCCTATCTGATCTTCCTTTTTTTCAATTAACCATCTTTTAACCATGAATGCGTAAAAACACATAGTTAAATATCTAGTTTATGTTCTCAAAGAGGTTCTTTCCCTTGGAGGTTTAAATTTAACAATTAAACTGTTATTCTTATTTAACTGTTATATTTTTTTGTCATTCAATCTTCCATAGTTACTGGTAACATTAACGGCATGTTAATTGCCTGAGCTATTAAAGGCCGGTGATATAATTATCGTGATTTGGTGGGCGTGGTCCATTATCATAATCCATCAATGTCTTATTTACGGTACACAATGTATGCAAAATTATTAGATATTTTTGATAATATACAAATTAATGCGCACAGGGTTTCACTCGGAACCTATCAATTAAACAGACTTAATAATGTTTTTCGACGTAACACTACATAAAAGTCACCGAAATTTACATAAAAAATTTAATAAATTATGTATTTTATATGAAGAAGACATTTCCGTGCCACTCATTTTCCTTTATATGAAAGAAGATTTTCTGTGCTTTTTAAACCTAAGACTATTTACCCAAAATCTAATTCAGTAGTTTTACATCAAATTGACAGATAACAATAGACAAATTTGCGCTTAAAACCTCTAAACCTCTTAATTTAAAACCGCGTAAAAGACATAAACAAAAATATCCAATGTTTACCTAACGTAGTTTATGAAAATAGAACATTGCTTGACGAATATTCCTAATATATTTAGCGTATTATATAATAATTTTGAATACAATTGCGGTACGGATGACCTATAGGGACCTCGATTCAAACCTTGACTGGGAATGAAAATAGACGAATCGCATATGTTTTTCAGTGATTGACCGAAGTCATAACATTACAGTTGGCAAACTGATTTAATATATTGTTTCAACAAATGTGATAAAAATTATCGCTAGCATTTAAGTTTTTGAAATTTGAGTGGATTTTGAAAGGGAAACAAAACGCTCAGATTTGAGGCTGAAAATACTGAAAGGCGCAAGCGAAAAATCAATTTTCATCGACAAGATATGATGTTGAAAATGTGTGTCCTGTGTGTGTAGTGAATATAGATAATATAAGGTAATTGAAAATCACAACAGCACGTTGCAATTGTTGAATTTGTGCGTACACAAATCGTTTAAAGAATCAATGAAAATAAATTGTGTCGCTTGATTTGTGACGACAAATATGATATTATATAATCGACTGTTATAGAACTAATATCATTTTGTTAACAATATATTGTTTTAACGTAGCTACGAAGTGTTATTTATAAATTAATATAAGCAAGTTTAGTGTGGAGTAAAGTACATTATTATAACACATTTGTAGTGTATAATTTAAAATATTACCTGTCAAAAAAAACATTATTATTATTATTGTATACTCTATAGTTTTTTTCGTTTCGGCGCCAAATCGTGACGTACAGATGTCTGCATCAGTATGGTGTCCCCTTTCGCGCCAATCGCTCGTGTGTTTGTCAGTGTCGCAACTGTCAAATCTGGAATTCTGGGTTGGCGCGCTTTTGATAGTACTCGCGTGTGAAATGGATTTTATTTATTTTCACATATTGAATGCAAATGATATTATGTATTTTTGAGTGCAGTTTTTTAGTGATTTAAAGCGATTTTCAGGTACGGGACCTTTTTCGACTATTATACTTTTAAAAGTTTTGTATGCTATTTTTATTGATTATTTTGTGCGTAAAATTTTTGTAAGATTAGAATCTAGTAGATACCTGTCAAAACTATTTTTTCTATATGATATTTTGCATTTTTGATAGCTCTCAATGCTGCTTAGTTATAAGATAGAATGAAAAAGTTATAGATAGCTTTGAATTATATTATTTTTGGTATAGAAAAATTGCAAATTAGGTTTAGTTCTTTTAATTTATTTATGTTTTTCGTAACTGGTAATTTTCCCCTTTATTACTTTTGGTGTTTAATGCCCGGTGATCAAGCTCTCAAGTTCGAATCCTAGGATAACAACAGTTAAAAGTAATACCTGTATAAGTGAAATAGCATAGGATACTTTGATGCGGGATTCTATCTTTAAATTAAGATATAAATGTATGCGATACATGAATATTTCCGGGTGAGTAATGAGTTGTTTTCTTAAATGTTTGCCCTTGGATTTGAACTTAGGACTCGCGTTACAAGGGCACAAGGCTAAGAGTTATTAACATAATGTTGTTAGTGCAACGGTTCTCCGATTACATACACGTTACTATATCTGTATTGGCCTGTGATCATGTATCTTAGTAAATAAATATTAAATAATATTTATGCGTGTAAAATTATTAAAAAAAATATCCTTTTTGGTAAATTAGTTTAGTTAGAAATTAGATCGTAATGTTAAATTGTGTCTTGGTGCAATTTATAAAAAAATATGTGTAAAATTAATTTGTCTATTAAAAGTGATTTATTGACCTATTTCGCGTCAATCAAATAATTTACGCAATTATTAAAAAGTATATGAAACTGTGATAAGTAATAAGCGCGAAATATTAAATATTTTTATTTTATTTATTTGTATATTGATATTACGTAGTTCGTTTTTCTCAGAGCCGTCTGTGTAATAAACATTGTCGGAAAAAGCTGAGCTTTTGTGGATTTAACTTCACTCTAGGTAATGATAGACCATGATTTGGTGAAAATGGCCGTCCATGAAAAGCCGCGGACATTGACCTTTAAGCTCGGAAAATATATTTTTCTGAGAATTCTCGTAGAAAAAATGTGTGAGATTTAATAAATATTGTTGTACTTGTTGACCTTGTCATTTTAAAATAATTGTCTATGGTCTTTAGTTTATCTCAAAAAATCTACAGTCATTTTGAAATAATTATACCTATGTATAATTTTATTTTTAAAACTTATTGTTCCACGCCGTTTTGATTTTTTTTATCAGAAGTGTTTTTTTTATTGTATTAGAATCGATATTTGACGAGCCGAGCCTAGTGGCTTCAGCGTGCGAATCATCCCTGACGTCGTAGGTTCGATTCCCGGCTGTGCACCAATGTACTTTCTTTGTGCGCATTTAACATTCGCTCGAACGGTGATGGAAAACATCGTGAGGCAACCGGCTTGGCTTGCCGAATACAGGAGGCTGATCACCTACTTGCCTATTAGATTGACGAATGATCAAGAAACAGATACAGAAGCTGAGGCCCAAACCTAAAAATATAGGCGCCACTGATTTTAAAAGTTTTTTTTAAAAGTCTGTATGATAACGCACACATAGTATGACCTCGAACTCCCTAAACGTTGACACGAAAATTTTGTTGGTTTGCCTTGTTTTCCATACAATGTAACGTTAGTTAGTAATAGATGTGTCGTAACGTGAATATTACCACACATCTATAGCACCAGAATGTGCCCAATACAGTCTTATTATTTTTATAAATTGTCTCTGCACAAAGACATCATTTAATATTAATGATTGGTGCTAAACAGTGGCGTAACTATACCATCTAAGGTTTACTAATTCTTTTGATGGGCCTATCAGTACAAATGGGCACGTTGTTGTCAGTTTAATTTTAATAAACTTCGAGATTTTCAGTGTACTCAATTACATAGGCCATAGGCCTCCTCTCTTAGGCGAGAGGGAATGGTCTGTAGGACATTCATCTATAGAACATAATATCTCTTGGGTAGGGGCCCTCTTGGGTTGGGGGCTACTTATTGTTACGCCACTGGTGCTAAACACTGGCACCCTATTGGTACTTGAATCACTTCGCATTGGTTAATGCCCATATGAACCCCATAAGTGTCCCTGTGGCTATGGAGTAAGTATCCTTGGACCCCATGGCCTCCATTGCCAAAAGAGTGCAGGTCGTTTTCTCGCCACGCCACGCTTAACGATATCATACGTCGCTTTCTTGCCACCGACATTACTTTTTTTAAGAAAGTGTTGTTTACCTGACAGAACATTGACTCTGTTTTCACTTAGAATTTAAGCAATATTTTGACATGAGCACAATGGCGACACACGTCAAGAGCATTATGTATATTTCGTTCATTAAACATGTTTCAATGTGTAAATATGAATATTAATTTATTGAGTTATTTACCTACGCTCAAAGATATTTTATTACTAGAAACTCGGGATTTTGTTATATACTGTTGTCCTTTACAGTTTCTCAATCTACTTAAAATCACTCTTGATAAGAGTGTAGATCTTGCAAACGTGTAGTTTTTCTCTTTCGACCTTGACCACGCCTTCGTGAGTATTCTCCCGTCTCACGGTATCGCTTCCAAAGTCTGTAGATAACAGAAGGGGCTACTCCTAGATCATTTCCTACATAACGCATAGTTCGACCCTCTTCAAACAAAGCGATAGACAGTCAGATCTGGCATTATGACCTAAACTCACTCGCTTCAATGAATAACAATACTCAAAAGGCTCACTTCAATTTCTATTAATACTCAAAAGATTGAAAAAAACTACTTAAAATGTGTTTTCTGTGATTAGAAAGTAATGAAAATTCAAAGACGTCACTTTGTTTTTCGTCTACAATGCACATTTGAATTTTATTATTAATTGTAGTAATTAACAAATTAACAAGGTAAAAAATAGCGTACAAGTTAATTTAAATCTAATTTTAGTTTAAGCAATAGAAAGGAGAAAAATCTTGTTCCGCTAATTGTTTTGAGCAGTTTATATATATATTTTAACAACCACACATATCTTTAGCGAGGCTGTGTTGCTGGGATGGAGTTGTCAAAGGCCTTGAAACGATAGGGCTTTGAAATTGGACGTGGGAAACACTGGATAGATTGCGATGGCGAAACATACTTGAGAAGGCTAAGTCCCACAAGGGGCTATAATATAACCATTGATGATGATGACATACCTATTGAATATTTACCTACATT